TCCTTAAAACCATGTATTTGAAAACGGTACACCTCACAGTGTACATAGTTGGTGAACGTTCAACAGTTGTTTTTAAAGCCAGAACAACAACAGAAAGAGTATATTGAGCTAGCTGACCTATCAGAAGCTTTGCTAGCTTTGATTCAACTTTTTAAAGCCAAGCAGTATCATTCGAAATGAACATAATTTTCAGTGGTTGTTTCCTCAAGCGCAAATTACGGCATCTGGTAAATCTGACTTGTACAGAGTATTTAGTGAAAAAAGACTTCAGGAAATAGGGAGCATACTCTTTGAGTGGGTTGATGTTACTAGTTCGCGCAAACCCAATCAAAGCCTCAAGTTAACGCTGATTGCTAGCTTGTTTTGTTGCTAACGAAAAGTACTGAACGCAAGTTTGTGCTCGCCTTGCTATCGCTAGCGGCATCCGTAACTAGCAAGTGGGCGAGTTATTCCGGTCCATGTTTTAAGATGACGTTGCTCAAACTCATAATTTCCGCTTCTTTCACCACAATTTCGTAAACCAAATGATGATTATTCGAATTCTAAAAATGGTTCCTGATAGTTATTAGCCAAGGCTACTTTAGCTTGGGCGCTAACTATCAACCACCACTTCAGAGGGACGCCGTGATTTCCCCCCACGTATTTTAATGTCTACTAAGAGCGACTCTATTGGCCATAGATTATTTATTGATTACATATATTCCAATGAAGGTTAATGATATGTTTTTATCTTATCACGTTGTAATAGGCAAAACTTTCTATACTTTGTATTTTGGGAGAAATTCTAGACCCCAGACGCTGTCTGATTACTCGTTGCGTTTCTAGTCCTGTCGCTTACTTGTACTTGGTATCCCCAAGGCATTAGATAGTTGTGAGTTTTATTTTTGAGTAAAACAAAATGAATTAACTGAGCGATTGGCAGCGCATTTGTATCTCCCTGAAACACACTAACACCGGCCAGAAATAGGGGCAGGGCTTTGTCTATTGTCACGATTAGAATTCAGTCTCAGTGGGTGAGAGATGCATCATCACCGGCTCTTTCTTGACTGGAATGACAAAGGAAGCAGGGTTTCAAAAGTCGACTCGCTCTTGTAAGCTCCCAAATAAGGCTTGGGTGATCCGATAGTCTGGTTCTCACTTTCTGTGATATATGGTGCAATCGATAGGATCTTAATCTTTTGTTATCCAAAACAGATGAATTGGGAGTGTTTGTAGTTTGAGCGTCATCCAAAGGAAGTCAAAGGGGTGGCTCAGGAACTGGCCGGATAACTTGATGTCACACTGTTGCACACGCTGCTCTGTCTTAAGGGACCAAACACACCGTGTCACACTCACGCACAGGTGCTCGGTTGTGCAAGACCTCTATCTCCAGATCAGCTTTACTCTCGGTGTGTGACAAGGTGGACCTGTTCTCTGGGCAGCCTCAGCCCTTAATACCAATCACAGTCTGCCAAGGTTATGACAACACACACAGGCCAAGTTCCACCCGAGCCCTCGCATCCTTGTGTCCAGTGGTACATTTTCAGGTTGGCCCAAACTTCCTCATTCTTCCCAGCGTCTCTTAATCTGTAACGAGAGGGGAATGAGGAAAATGTTGTCACTGGCAACACTTTTAACGTCTTTCTGGAGTTCCCTTTCAAGGCAAAGGATGATTCTTCGTTTATGTAGTTCTGTGGCACAAATCAGTTTCAGCCACGTTATCTGGTCCTACTTTGGGTCTTTAGATGTTCCGAATATGACCATGTACTTTTTGATTTTACTGTGTTTGATAGTTTTAAAGCTTGTGTTTTCTGCTTTTCAGCTATTTCCTCACAGAGCAGATGGCTGTGGGGTTTTAATCTAGGGGGATTTTTAGGGACTTGCCAACCTTAAATGTGGTAAGAGTTTTTTTAAAATTGATTTTTTATATAAAAAATATTTCAGTTTGCTCTCTACCACCTCAGGCATATGTATCTTTGGTATCTCAGTCAGGGGATTTTTCTTGTTGATCATTAAATGATTGTTTCCTGCCTGTGGCATGAATCTGTGATCGAAGATGAATAAATGTCTTACTTTTTGGTCATAGAACTAATTTAACAAAGATGGTGTGCACTTAAAAGTGGCATTTGGATCACAAAATCCAAATATGAAAACTTTTCACATTGATATGAGGTCTTAATATTAGTTAATGAATCATTTAAGTGCTTTTTGATGGTAATAACTTAGATGTGGTTCACCGATAGATCATTTGGGATAACAGGATTCCAAACCGGGCAGGATTTGCATGCTGAGGTCTGCGCTGGCGTGGCCTGGTTCACTGCAGGGATAATGTGGGTTGTGTTCTGCTGTCGTGTGTAATGGCTCATTTTCCTCTCTTCCCAATTCAAAAGATTTTGTTTCCGCTCTGTGGTCAGTCCTTTATTGCCCGTTTGACCCGATGTGGTGTTCTGCAGAGCTCAGTTTTGTTTTTGGTTTTCTTAGAGTGTCGGATTATGAATTAAGCATTTCTAAAAATCTGCCACATTGAAATCATTTGGCAAAAGACTAAACTATCTGTTAGTAGACAGTTCTCAAGCTGCAGTATCATGCTGCTAACAATTTTAGAGAAGAGTGACTGATGTGGCGTTTTTATGGGGAGCAGTAGGGTTGGAATGAGTACCTCCTCAGCCTCAGTGTGTGTGACTAAAATACGGTGGGGCTGAGATTGGAACAAATCGGCTGGTTTTCTGCAGATCAGTTTTAAGCACATTTTTACGGCCAGCTGACCGTTTGACAGGATCGATGGCGAGCTCTGTCGCTTTGACATGATTAACCCGCCCTGATGTACGACCATCTTCTGCACACACACACACACACACACACTAACACAAGCGGTGTGTGCCTGCTGGGCCTTGTATGAACTGAGCACAGAGGGACTGAACAAAGGCGGGTCGGGGTGTCTGCTGGTGGGGGTTGTTCCGGGATGCGAACGGGGGGGCGGGAGGGTGAGATGGACGAGACAGACTCTCCTCTCTTCCTCCTGTCGGCCACGGGTGAATAGGTGATTATGGCAGCAGATGTGTCATTAGGTCTGATCTGTATTCATGCGGATGCCGAGGGTAGAAGGGCGATGAGGAAACTTCGAAGCGGGGATGGCCATGCTCCGCAGGGATCATGTTTCAGTGTCGTTAAGTGAATTTACAGGATGTGCCAAGTTGTTTTCTTATCGCCCAGCGCACACACTCGTCGTTTCCTCACCCACATTGCGTTCAGCTGTCCGTGCATTGCATTAGCAGGCAGGAAGCTCGGAGCCCAACGCAAATGGCCGCCTGATACTGGGGAAATAAGAAAAAAGGTTGTTTCTCTTTTTTTTTGTAATGCTAAATTGGTTAAACACACAAATCCTGTTTTCCCTATTTGTGGCTGCAGTTGGTTGGGAGGCCTGTTGAGGCATGCTTGATGCAGAGATTGGATTACTGAATGGGATAAGTCATCACAGGTCTACCTGGATGTTAAGCAGGAAAACAACAGACACTAAAAGCCTGCACTGTCATTCAAATAGAATTAGCTAAGCCTTTGTTTATCCATTTAACCCGAAACTACATGACAACCTTATTTAGGAGAGATTGTACTTGAAATTGTAACTAATTTTTTTTATTCTGTCTGCCGGGCTTTATTGCTTGAACATAAGCACAGAATCTGGCCAAAAGACAACTGTGCAGTCGGTGGTTTTTCATCAATAAGAATTTTACCATATGAAACTTGAAGGTCTCACAGCTGTGAGTCTACGCCCACTGACTGTATCTGTTTGTCAGGAAGTGATTACAGGCCAGGTCATTGATCTGTGAAACAAGACAGAGGCATCATCATCGACTCTTCCAGTCAGCTATCGCACTGGAAAAGGTTGATTTCTTCTGCCACCAACCACAGTGGAACACTGGAAACGCGCTCCTGACAAAGCAGCATTGTGGTCCAAGTTGTTGCAGTAGATACTTTACTTTGAATTCACCTTTGTCCAAAAGCAACACCCAAAGAATCAGACCTGCAGGTGTATTCTTGGGTTTGGTCGATTTCGAATAATTTAATAACTTGCTCTTTGTTTTCTGACATTTTTGTCCAGGAAGGAAATATTGCAAATTACAAATTGAATGGAAACCAAAATTTGTTTTTTAGTACTTTAAAACAAAATTGACTTTTGTGAAATCAATCAATGGTTGTGTGTTTGAAGTGATGCCACCGATAGATTTGAGTGTACGAATCCAGTGTAAGATAGTTAAATTTACTTGCATTGACCTCATTAATTCGTGATGTGCGTTTCTTTTCTCCCTTTAATGTCCCTGAGCCCTCTTGAGAAGCTTTCTAATAGACTGGTCCCACGTACGTGACTGTTCTGACATCATTTTGCCACCTGTTTTGTCACTAACTTTTGTGTCAAATTACTGTAAGCCCAAGAGAGGTTTTGAAAGTTGAAAGGGACCTGGGTCGAGTATGATATGAAGTAGGCAGTCATGGAAAATGCTTATCTAATTATGAAAGTATGAAACAAGTTGTTTGTCTAGTTTCAGAAAGGAAAGGACTACAGCTGCTCCTATAAATAAGAACTGACAAGATGTTATTTTAGAGTTGTGACTTTAACTGTGTGACTAGCAATTAAGAGTCTACCTACCTTCTCTAAAACCTGCATGTCTTGTCCCACTAATTGTTATTCTGTTACCTTTCATGCACTAATCTGGCTTGTGTCTTTATCCTAGGTGATGGTGCGGTCATGTGTGCAGCCCGCGCTGTGTGTGTGGATATGCTTTTAACAGACGCTGTTCTGGAGGACTCAGGAACACTGCACTGGCCTGGAGAAGCCTCATAAACGGATACAGAACACTTCACAAAGGCATAAACAAAGTAATACGCTCTCCGCCATTCAGAGACGAAGGACACAGGCGAGCCGACACAAGCAACACTTGTGGGCTACACACATTTGCGCTTTCCGTGTGTGTATCAGCCTTTTTATCCACACGCTCGGTGTCCGAGCCCCTCTCCTGTGAGAGTGCAGGTTATTTTCTCCTCCTTTCTGCACTACTACCACCACCATGCCAAGCACCATCCGCCGGCAGATGAAAAACATGGTCAACAACTACTCTGAGGCGGAGAAGAAGGTCAGAGAGGCCACGTCCAATGACCCCTGGGGCCCGTCCTCCTCCCTCATGTCCGAGATCGCGGACCTTACCTACAACGTGGTGGCCTTCAGCGAAATCATGAACATGATCTGGAAACGGCTCAACGACCACGGCAAGAACTGGCGCCACGTCTACAAAGCGCTCACCCTGCTCGACTACCTGATCAAGACGGGCTCAGAGCGAGTGGCGCTGCAGTGCAAGGAGAACATCTTCGCCATCCAGACCCTGAAGGACTTCCAGTACATCGACAGAGACGGCAAAGACCAGGGCATCAACGTCAGGGAGAAGAGCAAGCAGCTAGTGGTCCTGCTCAAAGACGAGGACCGCCTCAAAGGAGAGAGGTGAGGCAGCTGCCACAGAAAGACGTGGAATTTTAGGAATGAGCTGGAATTTGTGGAAATTGTTTCTGGAGCACAAGATGGTTAATGTTGCGTGGATGGAGCAGAGAGCTGTCTCCAGTGTTCAGCTTACTGCGTTTCATTCCAACAAAAGATCAAGAAAACGTTCTGCTAGTTGCTCGTAGTCACATGAACCAGTTTTTGCATCAGTCTACCGTCGCTGGCTAACTAAACTGAGAGGCTTGTGCCACAGAGGTCACCGACACAAAGTCCCCACAGGGAACTGTTTGCCCAGCCAAGACTTGGTCTTAGTTGGTGGGACTCTGCGTCCTAGTGAGCAGCTTTGTTCTGTGGTAACACAACAGTTCTGACCGAAAAGTTGTCTGACTCTTTTTTTTTTCTTAAATAATTCCTATTTCTTTTGTTAGAAAAAAAGAGTTTGGGCCTCAATATTTATAAAAAATGAGAGTGCAGCAATGCGTGATAGGAATATATTTGCTGAGCTGACGGAAAAGATTTCCTCTCTTGATATTGAAACCTTGTTTCTGCGGAGGGGGTTAAGTCTGATAATGAATTCAGTGTCATAACACCCCAACAACACGGCGTAATTGGCCACACTTTGAAAATGATAAAAACCCAACACAAGACGACCAATCAAATTATTATCCTTTTTCCCCATTAGGTCACAGGCTTTGAAGACCAAAGAGCGCATGGCCCAGGTGTCCACGGGGAGCAGTCAGATGGGTTTTGGTCGAGGCTCGTCCCAACCCAACCTCTCTACGTCCTACAGTGAAGAGTATGGCAGATCGGAGGGCTCGCCTGCCTCCTACCACGGCTGTGAGTATGAGCCCTCTTCTAATAGGCAATGAATGTAATGCAATATACTCAATTATTGTTACTTCATCTCAGTCACTGTAACTTTGGCCTACATCCTGAAACCTCCCTTCCCCCTGCTCTCTGTCTCTCACTGGCTTGCAGTCCTGTAACAGAGCTGCATTCCTCAACTCTCTCTCTCCCACACACAGACAAACAGATGAGGAAGATGAGCCCCCCCCCAAAAACATCTTTCATCCACATGACAGAGGAATCTGCTCGTCTTTTTAGTGATGCATTTTTTTGTCATCAGGCTGCAACAAAGTTGTGACAAAGTGGGGTCAGTTTATGTTAATGCGGGTCTTTGATCCAGGTTTTGTCCCATATCACACTCATTAGTCGACAAATGGGAGGTGCACCTGTGCATTTTGTTTGTCGGTTTTTTAAACTTGGCTTGTTGGGCTTACAGAAGTGGTGAGTGACGATGTGGATAGTTGTAATAAAGCAGTTCAAATGGTCTGAAGGAATGACGGGGAGCCAGAGTACAGGAAGCGGCTACTTTCAGGACGGGCTAACAGAGACAGGGACTGAGGGGTGACCCGTAAAATGATTTTCCTTTCACACCCTGACCCCCTATTCTTCATGCACAACAGGGCGGACGCGTGCACGCTCAGGTGGTTTTTAGCCAGAGTGAACCCTACATGCAGCACACGGGGTGTGTGGAGCCTACCCTTTGTGGCCTATATTCCTGCACTCATTTTATATTTGAGTCGGCGGTAGAGCAGCTGAGTCATCAGCGGAGCAAACTGACAGCAGATCTGACCAACAGCAGAATGGCCCGGGCTATCACTGTGGGCAGGCACAGGGAATTTTTAGGATTCCAGTCAAACTTTCCGTCTATTGTTGTCCAGACAGGGTGTGAATGAATGGCCACGGCAGTGTGACTGGATATTTCATGAGTCCCCAAAGTATTGGAATTGAAGTGGCGACTTTTTAGTCAAACGGTTGACTTTTATTCAGTCATGACAGGCCTTAACCTGGAGCCGTGCGCTCCAGTTTTACTTCAGTTTGAGTTGGTTTTGTTGTTACAGAAAATGTAATTTAACTGAAGGTGACAGGAAATGCGCTGTTAAAGAAATGGCAGATGATTGCAGGATATGGAGTCGCTGAGAAATTCAATCCTTTTGAAGTGGTCTTTTTTTATTTTTCTGTTTTAAACGCTGAGTTTTGTATGGAGTGCCAAGAATCCATATATGGTCCATTCCCACAGTAGTGGGCATGACAGCAATGTATTTCTGTTGGCCAGAAGTTTTATTTATTTGTCTTTTTGACCCCATGACGGCCGGGCGTCGCAGTGTTTGTCAGTTTGCGCCAGCCTGTCTGCTTTAAGGCGAAGAAGTGATATTTATTTTGGAGATATTAAGCTGGTTCAAACATTTTCTTTTGATGAAAGAATTCTGTGTTTTCTTTTTTTGAGCGTTGGTGTGTGTGACATGTGAGCATGTGGCCTTTTTGTGAGATGTAATCACATCGATCAACCTATCGTACGCAGTCTCTGCCTGCTCTGATTCAGCTGTGCTTGGGTTTCTATTTAAGGCAGACGTGCTGTTGATTTTAAAACCACAACTGGAGTTCCATTAGCTAAACAAACACACCTTTAGCCCTGATCTCCCTCCCCTGAGATGCGTTGCATGGAGACAGAGTGGTAGGGCTTGAGTTTGACAAGATAGTAGAAAATGAGATATTCAGGCTTCTGCTGGGAGTCACCATGAGACGGTCCAAATGTAAAGCTCAAGACAGAAGTGGGAGACATTAATTGTTACAAATATGGACAAAGCTATTAGGCTCTGAATGTTTTCTGGGGTTTTAGCTGATTCGCAAACCGTTCTGTAATATTAAGATTAGTCATTAGTGATAATCCGCTGACAAATACTGGTAATCCAGAAAGTGTGGAAAGCTTTCAAGCTTTTATTTTTTTAACTGAAGAGTTGTGGGAATTTCATTTTAGTGCAGAATATTTCCGCTTGGGCCTGTAATGCTCTGTTTGTGCTCATTTTGTATCATTATATTTTCATGATCACATCTCTTAAATCGTAATACAGCTGACCTTATTGGTTTTACACAAACATTTGACAATGAGATCATCAACCGAAGAACTTCCTTTGGGAAGTGGACAGCGTCAGCCGCAGGTGGTGCGCTTTCCACAAAGCACTGATCTTGAGTTTAGTTTGGGTTTACAGGAAGGTTGAGATGGCTTAAATCTGTATATATACACAAGTATGTTTTTATGTTTATTCATGCGTATCTGCTTTTTGCAGCAGTTTTTTATTTTTCTTTTATGACGTGAAGTTGAAATGTAGAGAATCAGTATTTGTTGTGTGTGGGTTTTCTTTCTTAAGCTAATATTTAATAATTACACTAATATTATTCATACATTAGAACTACTAGCACACAAACAGGATTTCTTACTGGAAAGGTAGTCTCTAATCTAGTTGGCAAACTGCTAAGGTGGACAGAAGAGAGAAATGAACCACCCAGGCACCCCCCCCCCCTTCCTTTTTTTTCAGAGCGTACTGTTCACTTGAAAAACAAACATGTTGCTTTTGAATCATCACCCTGAAAAACCACTACTTAAGCAGAATCAATTTCTTCACACTTCAGCACACCCACAGCATTCAGAGAAATGACGTAGTCTACACGGTGAGAGGAAAGAAAAAAAGAGGCATCATGTTTTGGTTCCCACGGAATAAAAAAAGCCGTGGCCTTCTACCTCAGACCCACAGAGTCACCGAATGAATTTCAGGAAACAACGGAGGGTACTTAAATGATTGTTCTTTGGGCTGCGGCGTGATGGTGTGTGTGTCGGCGTGGTGTCTGTTTGCCACGTGTGGAGTATGTGTGTTATTTTTGCTGCCACATGGGCTGACCTAATCCAATTAGCTGAACGGACTCGCCTTCCTGTCAAAGCCGACTGAAGACCTGAAACTATACACCCTGGTTACTAAAACATCAGATTTTCATACAATAAATGACATTTAAAATGGGGTCTCCTGGATCATTGAGTGTGACCCTATTTATTCTGGCTTGCTTTGGAATGTTAAATATAATGATGTGTCCATGACATAATATAATGTTATATGCAGTGTGTGATTGTGGTTGAACTGTGGGTGTCCCTCAGCCACTTCTCCGAACGCGGGATCAGAGCTGGAACAAGCCAGGCCTCAGACCAGCGGAGAGGAAGAGCTACAGCTACAACTTGCCTTAGCCATGAGCAGAGAAGCCGCAGAGCAGGTACACACACGTACTCACAAATCTCATCACTGACGACCTCACATGGCAGGGCATGGACTTGGGTTTAAGCCATCATGGAGAGTCTTCTTTCCCTTTTTAAAGTCACAAAACAATGTCTAAAATTCCCCTCTTTTTTACCTATTAGGTGCTTTTTTTTATCGATAAACCAAACTATAATGTTTAAGTTCTAAGTTAAGTTTCCCCAGTGCTTATTTCACCTTGAAGGTATACCCAAAGTATGGTGTCAGTCTCACTTCTCCTGTCTGATTAGAGAACCACAGATCACACCTCAGGGGGCAGCTGGGATTATATAGTGCCTCTCAGATGTGACAGGATCAGGGGAGCAAATGGTCCTCAGAGACTTTTGTTCATTAAAGAATGATTCTGTACCTTTTTTTTTTTTTTTTTTTTTTTTTTCCCCCCCCCCCCGAGTCAATGCTATGCATGATGTATCTTTGACATGTTTGCATGGACACGCTCATCCTAACAAAATGAAATGCCAGGATATTTTTAAAGAAGTTTCACAGTTCATGTTTGGGTGCACGTGTGTTCAGGAGGAACGCATACGCAGAGGGGATGACCTGAGACTGCAGATGGCCCTGGAGGAGAGTAAGAAGGAAGGTCCAGGCTCTGCCAAACTTGCCAAGAAGAAGAAGGAGGTAAAACACATCCAATCTTTGGGGCTAGGGTTATTCCATTGTCTCAAACTCGCTCCTGTAATAGTCTTGTGCCTCGCTGTCCTCTTTTCCTACCTGACCTCGTGTGCTTCTGCAGGGGCAGGAACTGGCAGCACACAGCCAAGTTCTCATCATTATTCCGCCAGAATAACCGGCTGGCTGGAGTTTTTGAGCACACAGTGTTTTAAGTGTTGAAGAAGCATGCTTGCGTGGCTTTGGCCTTGTTTTTCTCAGTACCCAATGACATAACTACCATGCTTCCTGCTTATTAGGCTGACAGATGGTATGTCCCCCCCCCTCCACCCTTTTCTGTCCTCACTTTGAAAAAGGGGTAATCATAGCTGTTGTTTTTTTAATCACGTTTGTGTATTAATTTTTTAGGTTCTTTTTTTCATTTTTAAACCAAAGTTCTGTCTCTTTGCAGCCGCTGTCGTCTTTGATGGATCTAATGGATGTTCCCGAGCCAAGGGCCAGTGCTGATCCCTGGGGCGCAGGGGCTGGGGCTGGGGCTGGAGCTGGAGCTGGGGCTGGAGCCGTAGCTGGAGCTGCAGCACCATCAGCAGACCCGTGGCAGCCTTATGGTAAGCACACATGCGCTCGCTCTCCCTGTTAAAGGTCACTTTAAAGGATATCCACCTGCAGACTGTCATGGAGCAATGCATACTAAAGTTACTGTTATCTGTGTGTGTGGAAGAGTGTGTGAAAGACATCTTGGCTCTCCACCTGCAGCTCATAAGACTGTGACTCTTTGTTTAATAGGAATGCTGTTCCACCAGCTCGGCAGCATTTCTGCTCTGGGAGCAGGGAGGAAGAAAATGATTGTGGGGTGTTTGTGAGGCAGGAAGGGAGGCTTGGAGGGATAGAATGTAGCACTCTATGGTCACAGAGACAGGGCGCATGCTCCAAATGTGATATCAAATCTAAAAGCCCTTTGGTACAGCAGTTTCCCTCTTTTCTTCCTTTTACGCTCCGATCGCTCACTCGGCGCCAAACCTCTCCCTGTCCTCACAGGTTCTGCTCCCAAACCACCAGCACCAGTGGACCCATGGGGTGCTTCTGCCTCTGTCCCCCCACTGAAGAGCAGTGACCCTTGGGCAGCAAACTCCGCTCCTGCAGCAGACCCATGGGGCTCTGCAGCTGCCCGTCCCAAGAATTCCACCACAGGTGAGCAATTTCGCATCTTCCCCCCCTTTGCTGAAAGTGCTTCATCTACTGCTCAGTACTGTACAAGAGGGTTGTAAGCTCTCTGCTTGACACTAATCTGTTAGCTAACAGTCAGAGAAACATCGGATGTTTGGATAGTTTTTGTTTTCTTTGATATATACGATAGTTTTTTAATGGTTTGCACTCATGGGGCAGAATTTGTACCGATGGCACATGCTTATGCCCATCTGCTTCCTTTTATTATGTTCTTTTTTTTTCTTTAATTTTGTATTCATACTCATCCTTATTTGCATTGTCTGTTTCCATTTGTCTTTGTGTGACTGTGCATCCGCTGTCCCTGTGTTTTTTGTTATTTTGCGTACGTATGTGTGTGTGTGAATGCATTGTCTCCTTTCAGGTAGCTTTGACCTGTTCAGTACATCCAATGGTACGTCCAAAGAAGACTTCTCAGAGTTTGACAGCCTGCGCTCTTCCTCCTCTGTTCCCACTGGTACTCACCCTGTCTTTGTCCCTCTAATGACACGGAGTCTGTGTTTTTTCCTGGCTGTCTGAAAAGACAGTGTTACTGCAGAGCACAGAGCTGTGCGTCTAGTCTTTGTATGCACCATCAGACTTTGAGCAGAGGCATCGTTTTACACCACTCTGATCACTTTTTTACACCACAAAGATATTTAAAGGCTGTCCGATCCAGTGGTGCAAAAAAAAGCATCTGCTCAGCTTTGCTTTGGTCTGATATCACTACGGTGGACTGATGTATCCTTTGTGAGTGCATAAATATATTTTCAGCCCTAACCCATACAGTGTACGGACACCCTCTCAGATCAGATCTGTAAAATGATTCTGGTGCACCAAAAATTCTAAATTCAAAGACTCTGGATCCAAATTTTTTATTCATTTATATTGTCGGGGTCTGAGAGGGTTCCTGTGACCTGCCTGTGTGTGTTTTTCTTAATTCTACATGTGTGGAAAGGTGTCCTTAGTGCCAGACTTAAGCTGTATAAGGAAAAGAGAGGTGGGCCATGATTGGTTCAGGTCTAAACTGATTCACATTTGGGTAGAAATCATCTCCAGCAGTAACTTTGTAGTAACACACTATAACAGTTTAGTTTCAGCTTTGCTACATTTAACTCCATGCTGCCGGTGGAAGTTTCCTGGTGTGTTTGCTGGCCTGCTGGGTTTTGTTGAGAGTGCATTAATGAATGTCTCCACTGCTGTCTGTCTGCTGCCACAAAACAAAAGCCAGGCTGTCTGCCTCTGATGTCTTCTCATTAAATGGCACCATCGCTTTATGGCATGGACTCGGTTTTATCTGCAGTAAATGCCACTTTAGGTGCTCCGACGCAGATGGACACCCTTTCTTGTGCTCGTAAATTTGTGACCCCAAGAGATAGAAAATGTGTGCATAAATCTTTTTTAAAAAAAGTTTCATCCACTGTAACAAAAGTTATCCCAGATTCTTAACAATAAGCCTGCTGTGCAGGAATTGTGGTCATGTTTCAGAGAGACGGTCTTCAATCAGTCACCAACTTCTCCCTCCTGTCTTTCCTCAGTTGATGGGGGTGCAGCATCCTCTGCCCCGTCTCCGCTCAGTCTGACTAACAGCAGCAGCCTGGACCTCTTCGACCCCTTACCCACCGCCTCTGTCACCACAAACCCAACCAGAAAGACTCCAGAATCCTTCCTTGGACCCAATGCTGCCCTGGTTAACCTGGACTCTCTGGTGACCAAACCAGCCCAGCCCGCACCAGTTGTTAATCCATTCTTGGCTTCCACAGGTGGGGCTGCAAGGAGATGAAGCTGAAATGTCCATTATCACTGCTGTTCCTATAAAACGTTAGCCTTTAAGATGAATGCCTGACAGTTTTAGACCAATGCCAAACTCAGGGATTCAGAATGTGTGGAAAGCAGCTGGTGGCGTCAGCGCGTGTGGGCGTGTTCTCACTCCTGTTCTGTCTGTTTGATGCAGGTGGCTCTGCTGCAGCTGCAGCTGCGGCCCCCCACGCCAACCCCTTCCAAGTGAGCCAGCCCGCCCCCCCTACTCTCAATCAGATGCGCGTCAGTCCGATGCCCTCCGGCTTTGGCATGGCGGACCCCATGGCCCTCTCCTCCATGCCCGCTCAGCCTGTCACCCTGGTCCCCCTGGCAGGGATGGCCCCCATGGGCCATGGAATGCCCGGAATGGGGGCTGGCAGTGTGGGGGCAGTGGGGACAAGCACGGGAATGAGTGCAGGGATGCCAGCCTCCATTTCCATGGCCCAGCCACTGATGAGCATGCCCCCGCCGGCTGGTGCACAGCCCGCCGGAACCACCAACCCATTTCTTTTGTGAAGGGGTGACAGGGGAGGGGGGCGGGGGAGGGGAGGGGGGCGCGCTCTCTTCTCTCCATCTTCATCTTGCTACTCAAGAAGCTTCAACACAAATAAGCGGATGTCTTATCCATTTTATGCGTTTATAGCCCACTCCTAGCCAGGTTCCCCCCCCCTTCTTTTCTCCTCTCGCTTCCTACGCTACGAGCTGCCTAGTCCTGTGTGTTTCAGACTGATGTGAAGACCACGCTGATGAGCGCAGTTTGCATCTGTTTACAAGCTGAAAGTGGTTTTGGGTTTCTCCACTGAGGCAGGACAGGGGCCAGACTTTCCTTCCTGTCTTCCTCTGGTTCGACCAGCTCTCCAGCCGTTCCTCTGTGTTTTGGTCCTCTCCGCTGGTGGGGTGACAGAAGACTAACTGTACTAATACCAGAATCTTATCTCTTCTGTAGAACTAATCTTTTATAAGCCCTGTCAGCTGGTATGTGTCTCCGCGTCTGAGTTCATATCTCAGTACTTTTACACTGTGTTTATTCCAGTGAGTTTTACCAAGACACACTGGAGTGGGGATGAGGTCAGATGTCTTTATACTCTGTGTGTACGTGTTACAAAGCAGGAATTTTGCACAATTGTTGCTTTTTTTTTCTCCTCCTTTTTTTTTTTCTTTCTTTTTCTGCGACTGTTGGGGCTCACCGTTACACCTTAGCTTAGGGAGTAAGTCTGATGAAACAACCGAGACAACACACACTGCCTCGACTCTTGGTACCACTCAGTCAACTCTCACACCGCCACCCCCCTCTTTTTTTTCCCCCCTCTCTCTCCAGACCCTCCACATGAACTTTGCCCTCGAGGGGGTCACAGAATTAACAATGAACGCTTCTCAGAGGAGATTAAACCCCTCGGTTTCAATCCTAGGTGATGAAAAGCAGAGCGGACATTTTGTTTGTATGAGCGTGTGTGTTTGTGTGTGTATACTCTTACTGCCCGGATACTAACAGCCACATGTTAATGTATTTTTCCACTGAGTCTCCCCCAGAGAGTGTTTATAGAGGGAAAAGACATGAACTGTGTCGGCATCAGTATTTTGCTGTCTGAACAAATGGATGCAGTGAGGCATTGTGGGACAGTAGTTTTTCTATTAAGTTTGTTTGTAGGGTCAAAGGGATGAGGGAGGGTCTGAGTGTGTGAGACACGCATTTAGCTTCCAAGTGTACTTTAATGAGCTTTTTTTTCTTTCTCCCATTTTCCACTGAGTTAGACACAATTTAGGATTTGTTTAAAATAGATTAAGTGCTACTAAAAAAAGTAATGATCCAGGGTTTAGTTATCAGCAGCCTTAATATTTTTCTCTTCTTATGCATGTATGCAACCGTATATCAAGGAGCGTCGCTATGGTGACGTGAAGTTGTGAGGTTCATAAGGGCATGTCAGCCACCGAGCATTGTGAAAAGAGTTTAACTCTTACTGGATTTGCTGTGGCTAATCTGTGTACAAGAACATGAGCATGTACTCTCACACTCATACACACACACACACACACCTTCAAACGGGGTTGCTCCAGGATCAGCGTATTCCGCAGCAAACAGCAGGTCACGTGATGTAAACAAGCAGCTGTTCGTTTTGTTTCTTACTTTTTGTTTTTAATTGTTAGATGTAAAATCCATAGCCCGGCCTTCTCTTTTTCTTTTTTTTTTCTTTTTTTTTTAAAATGATTTTTGGAGTTGTGCACTAGCAAAGCCATCGTGTCATCTTATGTGTTTTCTGTCATTCTAGTTTTTTCACCCTATGGGTAGGCTATGATATTCTCTTCTCTTAGAAGCACAACTGTTACCAAAGTCATAGCGACTGTGATTTCCCAGGATGCCACATGTGGAATACTTTAAACAGTAGGGTCACACTTCACTGACGTTTTTTGTTTTTGTTTTCTCTGTTTCTCCTGATGGATGCTCGTGGGTGTTGAACTGTTTTAGAAGTCAGAGTTGGTGTGAGGAAGATGCTGTTCGCCGGATATCATTGCATTTGCAGGCATCAGTCCGGAATGTCTTTGTCTTCTCTTGGCTGATAAAATTGGGTTGACACGTAGAAAATGTAAACTCTTCTGTTTAATGCGGCCCCATCCTCAGTTCTGTTACCTTTTCCTTCTGATGGAAGGTTTTATTTATCTGGTCATTGTGGTGTGAGCTGGCGCCCCCTCATGGTCTGCTGTGGTATTTTGGCTACACTGCTGGGCCATGGATATTTCCACTCCCATGCCTACCTTCTATTCTCAGGCAAAAAAAAAGAGGGGCAGCTCCAACTGTGCGTGGAGGATTTTTGATGATTCTAGGTGTCAGTGATAGTTTTTAATGCTTGGGAGTCCATGAAGAATGGACGCTTACTCGAAGATCAGTAAACATTTGTGATCTTGACTAAATATATGCAAAAATTGGGGAAAGAAAATTGGAAAAAAAAAGGCAAGACAACTTCGTCACACAGTGCATTTGGCATTATGCTGATGAAGTCTAGTGTATTGAAACTGTACTGATATTCTAGCTGACATTTGTAACGCTCTCGGCAGGCTTTATCTCACCGTTGCCCCACCTTAAACCTGGTGTGCGGTGGTTAGCGAGCTCTTCTGTCATGTATTAACTAACGGAATTTACAGGCTGTCTTTATATGCATAATATGACTTATTATTTTTCATGTCTGTGTAGTTACCCTTCTCATAGTACTGGGAGCAGGCTGCTTTTTTTTTGTTTTTTTTTATTGGATTCGTGCTCAACCCGTTGGCATTATAACTGTATAATATAATTTATCATTTGTACTATTGTAACATACTGTTCTTCTGTATACCTTTATTATTCTGTGTAATGGGTTTTTGTAGGAAAAGTCATTGTGGTATTTTAACGGCATCTAAACAAACGGACGCAGCGGGCCGCAGCCTGCTGGATGAGGACACCTGTAGCTGCATCGGTTCAAAAATAAAATGTGTCTCACTTCAGCTCTGTAGATCTGCTGTCTGGCTCCTTTTTGTTTTCATTTTCAATTTACAATATCTGAATGTGTGGAAATGAGTTAGACTGTACAAGTTTTCAGGTTTGGATAAATTCTGCACGTATGTCCATCATCTCTGAAACAAGACTACAGCAATGGTAATTTGATTGTGTGCTCTAAATGCAGCCAAACGTGCACATTTAGAGTCACATTTTATTACAAAAAGAGGCTTTTAAAAAAATCGGTAAAAAGTCAGATGGGAGAGTGAATAGATTTGTGAGCAGAACAATCCAAAAGAAGCAGGTCAGTCGTCATTATAAGAAAGGTTGTTCTTCTGTCGACCAGTCAGATGTGACGGACTTGATGGTGGACGATCCCGTGTCGTAGCCCATCTTCCTCATGTCTTTGGTCATGATGTGGAAAGACACCGTCACAAAGCCTTGGGAACGAACCCTCGTCACTGAAAGGAAGGGGGAATACCACGCTCATCTTTAAAAAAGGCAAATCTGGGAATACTGGGGTGTGATATGCAGAATACAGGCTTTGTACAGAACTAATGTCCAAAAGATTGCGTGCAATTTATTTAACTTGATGTGTGATTTGTTCCTGGACTGAAGGGGTTTGTTGCTATTTACACCAAAGAGAAACTCCACAGACCTTCTCTGCCTTCTCCCTGCGCCACCACTTTAGGGTCCGTGTACTCGGGCCGCCGACCCAATAACCATCTACACAGGAGAAAAGTATGTTTAGAAATCTACAAAGAAAAAAGAAACGCCAAGCACACTCTTATCCCACAAGGACTGTGTAGTGCACTTTGACAGCATTGATCAGTGAGCTCTCCTAAATTACTCTTCCTGACCTTCCCAACTTGTTTTGACTAGTAAATGTAGACCGATGAGTCCCAACACTCACCCTGTAAACTTCTGAAGTCTCCATGTGGGCTCAGGAACAAACATGGGAATGGTTCTGGTATGTCTGAGGAGTAAGGGCACATCCCTGTCTTTAGTGTTTAATGTAATGCTTTTGAAAGTGTAAACAACTATGCTGACCCAGTAAATACAATAAGATTTTGACATTTCATTAGATGGAGGGAAAACTTACTGTCCAGGTGTGAAGGGGATGTGTGTTGCTCCATAGCCTCTCACCACGTCGTTTCCAAACACATCTGGTCCGTAAACACTCACCACAAGCTGAGGCCCTGGAAAATGAACAGACACTCTTGTACACTGAACACTTGTAGTACACTAAAGGCTTTTTTTTTATTAACGGAACTGCTATTCAACCATGTTTTAGTTTTTTAATGAGGGCATATTACGCGCATACATATAGTTTGTGAGTTGTAAGAGTGTTAAAGTGCTTACAACCAGATGGATTTGTGCTCTTAAATGTCGTCTCCAATGGAAAGTTCCATATCAGCTTGTTTGAATGACTGCTTTTACAGGTTATTTGCGTAATGCCTTCCTCCAAACCCTGTAAGGAAGCACACAAATGCGACGGTCAGGAGGACAGCATTCCCTTCCAGTTTAATCTGGAAGAGAGACTATCAGAAAACGACACCACAGCCTCCCTTGTGGCGAGCAGCTAACTCCTCACCGTGGTCGGGGCCCAGTCGTGACCGTAAACGTAACAATATTTGCAGTACAGGCTGTCATACTCCGGAAACTGAAACACGAGAAAAACATCCCATTAAAATGTTGATGTTATGAAAAGAAAACGTGAAGAAATGCGATAGGTAAACGACAGAAGAGTAGCCTCAGTTGTAGGCAGTGCTAACTTAAACTAGTCTGTGTAAAACCACTCACGTTGGCCCCCTCAATCTGCCCGTTCACCGTGAGGAGGAAGACGGAAGGGTTGTTTGCAGCCATCGGGACACAATTCAGGAAGATTCCACGCGTTTTCCTTGCATCATGATGAAAAATATCATCCCACAAATTCTGCTAATTGCTTATCCGAATGTAGCCGTTGCTAAGGCAACGTTTGCTCCTCCTTACGGATGCTCACTTCGGTCAAATTGAACGAAAACGCCTTAATCCGTGGTGAGAAAACGTCAATGTCCATAAGAGGGTGACAGTGCACACAAATCAGATCGTTCCATTAAACGTACGTTCCACTAAAGGGAAAAAAAAATACTTTGGGTGGTTTAAGGAAACCTTCAGAGAACTCACATTTCTAGTCAGGAAATACCCCAGCACTAATTGAACTGCTATTGAGGGTCGTGAACAACAACAAACCAGATAAGACATATATCTCCAAGTGATTTATTTGTAAAATTTAGTAGAATCTTTTTAAAGGAGACTTTTTGGAATGTAATGGTTTGTTGATTTTTGCTCATTTGTTCCCCCAAATCAGATCTTTCCTGAAGAATATGTTGGCTAAAGAAGAGATTCTGAAGTATTAGTACTAGTAGTAGATATTAAATAGGTTTGTTTTTTAGTTGGCTGGGACAGATTGATGTGAGATATTTCAACCTTGCAAAGCAGCAGGTATGTTTTTGTAATGTGAAGATGTGAAATAGTGCTGTTACTTGAGAGCTCAGGCAGTGTTCTTCTCGGGTGTGCTGAGGCTGAGGAGAAGCTTTCCACACTGTCTTCCGCTAACTAACACCAAAGGCCTTTTTTTTTCTTGAAAAATGAAAAACAATCCTGCTGTTGGTCCATGTTGGTTTTGGTTTTCACAACAGAGATTCAAGCGTTGCTTTAAAAGGCTCAAAGTACGGTAAGGCTTCTTTCTCTGTTTGTTTCTGGACCGATAACCTGCTGTTCTGCTCTGGCACCCCGTGGTTTTCTTTGATCTAACGCTTCACCCTTAAGCATCCTGTTCCCCCAGATGTTCCAGAGCAGTTTCTGGGGTGTGATGTGCCATGCTGTCCCACATGCTACACGCTGAGCTGGGTCCACTGTGTGGTTTCAACTTTAAATTCAGGGACCATGAACATCTCTGTCCTCCTCATTGGTCAGTGTTTTGTTTTTATGAGTTTGTCCATGTGTATGAATGTGAAAATGTCACTTGTTTTAGGTTGTTTTGATATGGAAAAAGATCAGGTTTAACTGCATCTTTCTAAGTGTTGCATGGGTTTTATTGTATCCTCTGTGACTGCACAAAGAAACTCTTTGCATGCTTCTTTCAAAGAGGACAGCCCTCTCTGACCTTTCATATGTAGTTCAGGAGGAGTCAAGTCTCCAATTAGTTCAAAGGAACTCATTAGCAAGCTAACAGGTAGCCTTTTAATCTTAAAAAACACTACATTCTACATACATTCTATTTCAATCCAGCTTTATTCTGTTTTAAGATGAGTTATTTCATTTTCTTTTGTTTTTTAATTTCTCCTACTTTTGCCTCCATTGCTCCAGTGAACTCTTCCTGACTGTGGGATGACCTTTTATTGACCCATCTGTATTCAACACTAATCTCCTCGTTGGATTTAGCCAGGCTGTTTCCTGCATTTTGGTCTTCCATCCTGACCACGCGTTGCACAGAGATTTAGTTTTATCTTGCTTTCACCATTTTATGGCTACTTAGGATTTATTCTTCTTTATCAGATTGTTATTTTTTAAATCCTTCTTTGACCTCCTTCAGTCTTTGTTTCCTTGGCTGTAAATTTCAGATTTAGAGTTTCCCTCAGAACTCTTGGCTCACACTACAAGCCCTATCATTACTTTTCATCTTCCTATCAGCATCTCCCCATCCCCACCCTCTCTTCCTCCCACAATTTCAGTCCTTTATCTTCCTTAATCTTACAAATTCATCTTGTTTTGATTGTCTGCCTTCTGAATTCCACCTCATTTTCATTGCTTTTCCACCTCTTGCCGACATGTCCTCTTTGATGCCGTTGTCCAGCCTGTTTGATGTAATTTACATCCTTACTGTGGCCTCCCTGTTAGCCTCCTCTTTATCTTCTTTTCTTGTCTTCTCCATCTGCCACCTCATTTTCCCTTCATTCTCCTCCACCTCCCTTTTCTTGTCAAATGCCTGATTTAGAGTGGAGCAGCTTTACAGGTGGCTGCCCACACATGACTGCAGTATGGGGCAGTCAAAAATGGCCATTTGGTGTAATGGGACCCATTTTTCCTGAACATTTTGATTGTAGTGTTTATAACCTGCATGAACCTAGGAGACCATGAGCCCCAAACGGGTTTTACCACTTATTTTGCTGGATACAAAATGGCTTGGAAAGCTAGGTGCATAACCTCATGAGTTTATATTGATTGAATTTGGCTACTTAAGAGAGGCTACAAATGAACTAAAATATTTTAGTCAGACAGGGAATTGATTGAGTTGGCAGTCCTGCTAATTATAAAAGGGCCTGCAAAAAACTGCAGGCCTCTAGCTTTGTTTGCCCACTTAAGGTCTCATTGGAGAATCAGTCATTCAGGTTAGGGCTCAGCAACACACCTACATCTTAAGAACACATAACACTCTTCAGAGGACAGTATTGTACATACTCTGCACAGAGGAGACTTTGACAGTCTTCCCCAGCAACAGTCTGTAAGTTGGAAGCTGTGATCTAAACCCATTTGCTTAGCCTGGTAAAGAATGGACAGGTGAGGCTAACTTTAACAAGCCGCTCATTTGTCAACAGAGTCACAGAGACAGGATGTGAATCTGATGGTCCAGACAAAGTAGTTTAAAACTGAAGAGTCCTCATAGATTGGAGGTGAAGTTGCCCGTTTTGGAGTATGGGTTCTTTTTATGTAGTTTAAGTTGACATTTTACCACCAACCAACTGAGAACTACAACCAATCAATTCAGAAATCCCTTAACAAGTTAACCATGATACAAAAAAGTTCAATACTTGTTCTGAATTATACTCTGAACCTGGCATTCAGATGAGCGTTTAATTTTTTCTTCTTCCCAAAAGTTAGACAACTGATAAAATTTTTCTCAGAGGAAACGAGTGAAAGAGAGGAATCAGAACATGGATATGTTTTGAAAATGATTTGTGGAATCATTTCCACAGCAATTTATAACAGCTGATACTATCAGGATAGCATCTCCACCGCCAAAGGAACCCACCTGTTTTGCGATGTAGAAACGAGTCTAGCCAGTAAGACGGGCTGTGTTGTATTGCTTCTTTTAAAAATTTTTTTTATTGAGGAGCTGTTTATTAATTCCACACCAGCTGCTGGTGGTGCCTTTATGAGGACAGCCGTCAGTGTGCTGATACCTGCAGCTGTTGAGCCTTTTTGCCTGTCTTAAACGGGCTCTGAACTGTCTGTTGCAACATTTCACATTCAGTTTAATGAGCCGCTCCTCCTGCTGTCTCCTTCTTCTGTAGAGTTTTATTTGTTTGTGTAAACCAGTGTGTGTGTGAGGGGTCCATCTACTATGGTATGAGAGACCCTTTCAACCATCATTCAAGCTTGGTCTCTATCATACTATCATACTCTCACACACTGTTAAAGCTTAATTATTTTGCTGTAACAGAGCGGAACAGGATTGCAACCTAAACAAACCATTGAACATAAATGGAAACCATAAAGTGGTGAGGCGAAGAATGGTGTTTCATGGGAAAACACTATGTGGGATAAAGTTATGGTATGTGTCTCCAAACGTTTAGCAACCCCCCCCGTTTTTTAATAGAATAGCTTCTATTCTGCCAGGCCTCTAAGCTGGTTTTCTCTGGGTGCTGTGCCATGCCTTTAAAACAGTCCCTTTTAAAATAGGCAAAAAATCTGGTTGATTATATTTAATATAATTTATCCAGTCCACATTTATTATAAAAAAAACATCCACACAACAGTGCAACGGTGCTTTAGGCAGTGGTCCCGACTGCCTTTGCTGTCAGCTGTTAATGTAGGATTTTTTAAATTAACTTCTTTGTAACTTTTTTAAATTAGCTTCTTCTTAGGCAGATAATCGCCATCACTCAGCTGAGGATCTTTGAGCGTTAGAAGCAGTGAGTTACAACAATTAATTTTGCAATCTGCTTTCACTTATATGTCTGTGGGACGGTATGTGGGTACATGTCCCTCAGAGACCTCTTCCCTAAACTGATCTCCTCCACTGAAGTCTTTGCTGTGGATCTCATCTTGTTGTTTGAATGCTAAGACCTTCTTTCTTGGAAATTTCTACATAATTTAGAAAAACACAGTGACAAGGACAAGAAGATTCATGCAAGTACCTCTGAGGCCTGGTTGTGAAAACAAGTCCATGGGTGTGGTGTCTCTGTACTACTAAGTTGGGCTTTACTCTAGGTTCTTTGTCGGGTTTACCTTTGCCTGAAAGCCTCTCATCAGAACAATATGGAAGGCTAAGCCTGCAGAATGCTGTTCGTTGATTTAGATCTAACTCTGCTAGAGGAGTGTCACAAATTAGAGCTGTCAGTGGAGCAGTAACCAGCACATACCTGGAAATCTGGCCCCGGCAAAAAGTCACTTGCAAATTTGACATTTGGTCAAGGTTTTGGAGACCGTACGACTGTCTTTTTTTTTTTTACAACTGTAGTAACATTTGCTGACTTTGTGTCCTTGATCACCAAAACTTTTTGTTCAGCCAAAGAATCCTCCAGACATGCTTCTTTATTTTTCGTGGAAGAAGCCAGCAAGATGTCATCCACATACAGTAAACGTTGGTTTGGAATTTTTGCCGTTTGCAGATAACGATCAAAGGAAATTAAGTTGAACTTCCCTCTTCTGCTCATCTTCTTCCTCGCCAAACCAAACAATTCTGATGAATGTTTGATGTTATACTATATTTGGTTTTTAATAGACTGTCAAATGGTGTACATTATACCATTCATATTAATCATCCTTGGTAAATTTCTAATTCACAAATGTAAACAGCCTGAAGCTGTTTTCTGTTTAGACATTTAGAAGTTGCTGTGCACGTCACACGTGATTTATATCATATTTTTACCCCTTTTTGTTTAAACCTGTTGGTAAATTTGAATTGATTTAGTTAAGAAAATTATTGCAATTTAACAAAATACCTTCACAGACTTTCACACCCTGCTGCATGTGTAGACTTTGACTAAATTACTGCGCAAATATAATTTTGGTGTCTTACTGGTCAGCAGCTGGTTGAA